TGATATTTTTACTTTCATGATAAATTTTATGCCAGGTTTTTTTAGCTAGTTTTAAATAAAATGTGTAAACACAGTTTTTGTCCTGGTCAGTTGTTATTTTTTAAAATCACCAACTCTAACCTCATTGTTGCAATTATATGTGTCTTGTAATAATTTTTTGCACCAGGCCATAATATTTGTATAACCTATCTCTAATAAAATGTTAAAGATAGTTAGTTAAAAGAATGATCCATTATATAAAACAAGCTTAGACTGGCTTTATAAATTGACTATACAAATATTTATAGTTATGATGAAAATTAGTCTGATATTATTTTTGAGTATGACAGTAATAAAGTTCTTAATAATAACACGTTAACAAATAAAGATTATTTTATTCAGTGTACTAGTATCAAGCGATTTTTTTATATCATGCTTCTTTTTTCAGATTCAGAGAAGGGTTGGAATCAACATCACCATGGTTGGAATTGATGAATGCTTGATTGAAAATCTAAACTGCAAGGATAGCTGTACAAACAAATTAATAGTTGATCCTCACCCAATTGTTGTGAATGCCAACTGGACTTCATTTGTAAGTGTAAATAGCTGGATCAAACCCATGTGTGTATGTGGTGCGAGAGATTTCTCTGAAAAAGAAACCTGTAAACAACAACCTCCTCCTTGCTTTAATAATGGTAAATGCATTGATGGCCCTAGCGGAGTCAGGTAAGTTATATTATTGTCTTAATTGCTGCTTAAACACAAGTTTTACAGAATCATTTTAGCAAGTAAGAAAACAAGAAAAAATTAATAATTGTTAAGCATCCAATAAAGTTGAAGTTTAGTTGTTCTGTATTCTGTAATATTTTAAAATTTGATGTATGAAAGTAATACAATAAATTTGTTATTGTTTCTTGTTTCTCTTAACAAGATTGTGAAGATTGTATTGAACATTAAGTCAAATGTGTTTTTGTAACATTTTGAAATTGTGTTTATATTAAACATTATTATAATGTTTATGTTTTAATGACTAGTATTTTTCTTAGTATATATTATTTTGTTGCGATCAATGAAACTTTAATTATTAATAATATATCATCACTTAAAACATTTTCATTAGTAATTAGCAGTCATGATATATCATGGTTATTTAGTCAGTTGCAAACTATACAAAATAATTTGGGTTTATGTTTGACACTCTATAATAAATTAAAATATTTTAACACCCAGTTTAATTGTAATTAGAAAGTAAAAGGTCATTTGTTTAGAATATAAATTGTATGCCATAACACACTGTTTCAATTAAACAAATTATATGTTCCACAGTACACACAGCAAACCAAGTATATAAGTAATACAAACTTATCCTTATTTAGATGTAACTGTACTGGAGAAATGAATGGACCTCTGTGTCAGATTACAACCATTTCTTTCAATGGTAGAGGGTGGGCATGGTATCCAGTTTTGCAGCAGTGTGAAAATTCCCATCTCAGTTTGGAGTTCATGACCCTGAAACCTAATGGTCTGCTGCTTTATAATGGACCTATCTCCAATCCAGAGCCTCAAGAAATTGTTGTGCAAGACTTTTTGTCTATTGAGCTTCATGATGGAAGGCCTAGGCTCTTGATGGACTATGGATCAGGGACAACAGAAGTTATAACAAATACAAAAATTGCACTTAATGATGGAGTGTGGCACAAATTAAACATATTTTGGGATAGAGAAGTATGTGACCTTGATACTGCTCTGTATCTATTTTATCTTGATATTATTAAGTTTTTCATAAAATTATTGTAACTTTTGCTTCCAAAATGGTGCTACCTCCTCTCACATACTGTTTTATGTTTTAAGTCGAATTTCCTAGTTTTGCAGGTTTGTTGTTTTTATATCCTTTGTAGACTCTACACGTTTCTAAGTTTTGTTAGTTCATTAATAATGAGTACTTTCTCAAAGTTATTTAGTTTATGTGTCTTTTTGGCTACATTTCACAACAATTCTGTGGTTTATACGAGTTCTATCTGAGAGTTTCTGCCTTCCAATCTGCTCCCTCTCTATCCACTTCCCTGATCTCTTTCCCTCCTCCTCTGGATCATACCTTGTCCAGTCATCTTGCCAAGTTTGTTTTAGTCTTACTACACAAAGGAGCTATCGAACAGGTTGTGCCCATTCAACCAGGATTTTACTCCCATCTTTATTTTGTCTCCAAAAAACATGAGAGTTTGGAGTCCCATCATTGATCTGTCCTAGTTGTATCCTTATCTGGAGATGCCTGGCTTCATCATGGAGTATAGCTCTCACTTCGGTGGGTTTCTTGCCCCAGTGTCATGTCTTTTTTTTTCAGTTTGACTATGAGGGTTCTGCTTACCTTCATCAGATACTTTTGTACCTTCACCAGCCCTTCCACCTTTGTATTTTGGGATTCTAGCTTTGGGTGAGTGGAAGTAGTACCATTTTGGAAGATAACATTTTGTAACACTGAATATGTATTTCCTATAGATACTTACCTCCCTCACCCACTTACCACCCTTCATCTCCACTGATTTGTTGGTATTTCTGGCTCGTATCTGCTAATTCTCGAAAGTGAGGATTTTGTTTCAATGGTAGAGGGAGCTACCTGTGCTAGTATAAATGGTGCAGTATGATTGGTGGAGGGTAGTCACCTGATCAGCACATCTTGCTGCAATGGTGCAAAAATGAAAGGGTATAATAAACTGGTGTGCTGTTGAAAGTTTTAGCAATGTTTAGAGGGCAAATAAAGTTCGAGATAGCTTTGGGTGATGGGAGGTAAGTGCCTATCGGAAATACATTTTCAGTATTAGAAAATGTTAACATTTAGTACATGTGCTAAGCTAGACTGTAACGTGTTCTTATAAGAAAACAGCTGTCACATGATAATTTAAGTGATTATGAATTTTTCTTCTACACCTTTACAAAGTAATAGCAAAAGTAAAAGTAATATTAAAATTAGTATATAGTTTGATTAAAGAACAGTTATTTGTATCCATGTCTATTAGTGTTATTCAAGACATAAAGACTAAGTATGTTTGCCTTCAGCCACATCAATATTTAAAAAAAACTGGTTAGTGATTATTCCGTATTTGAGTCAACATCACTGAGTTCAAGCCTGTTTCTATGTGATACTACATAAATCTCCATGAGTTTTTGAATGGTTAGTCATGTGTCATAATATTGAAAGTAGAGTCCAAGAAATAAATCAAAATAATATATATATAGGAAAACTGTAAGTCTGAAATTGCATTTGGTTTTCAGAATTTATAATAACTGCTTAGTGTGATTATTTCTAATTAACACATATATTCATGTCATAAATAAGTTGATTAAATTTTTCCATGCAGTAAAAAAGACATTAAATTTTAACTGAATTTTGTAGGAAATTTAAAATTACTCAAAATATTGCAGTTTTATATAAGTATACTATAATATAAACACAAGTAATTTAAAAAGAGTGTAATCATCCTGTGCTTAACACTAATCTTTATGAAAGTTTGATATTCATTTCAGAGTTATGCCTCTTGTAAATCAGTATTGCATACTTTTTAAAGTGCAATTCAAGATATTTACATTAAAATAATTCTTTCTTTCCTACTTAATTGCTCAGACACAAGCAATTAATTTCCATCTTTACATTATTAAATTAAGGTGTAAACATTTCAGAAGATAAAACTCATTCACTGTAAATTTTTGTGTTGCTCAGTTGTGAGTTTTTTATACCAGAATATTCGAATCAGAGTAGATGACTGTATCCATGCTGAGATCACAGACTCTGAAACAACACCAAAATTTGATAGTTCCAGTTGTGAAGGCCATGGAACCATTCCTCCTTTTAATGAGTTCTTGAATCTAAATGCACCACTCCAAATAGGTGGAGTTCACCACAAAAGGCTAAACTTCACTTGGCAATACCATCATACTCAAGAAGGTTTTGAAGGCTGCATAAGAAATGTATTTTATAATAGTGAGGTAAGGAAATTTTTTATATATATCTTTGTTATTGGAATTAAACCTTGTGTAAAAGCTTTTCTATGTAAATTCTATATTATTCTACAAAGAATTATAGAAAAATTTCTCATCACTTTGAGACAGGCACATCACTAACTTAAAACTTCATTTAAAAAATAGTTGTTTAAAAATTGTTTATTTTAAGGAATGTATTAAATAATGTAATCTGTATACATCAACCTACCTTGCAAACTAGCTTACTTAAATAAGTTTGTAATAATAGACTTTCTTTATCTAAGAAGTTTACCGAACCATCTAATTTTAAACAATTCTCAATTATCCATGGGAAATTAATTTGTCTACTTTCAAGATATACTTGAATAAGACAAAAGGGAAACTTAAATCTGAATCACAATATTATTATAGTTTTCTGTGTAAAGTATATAGATTATCATACAGGTTTTTTACAATATTTGTAAGATAAAATAATTAACAAACGATATTTATTCCCACATTTAAATTCTTAGATGTTAATGCTGTCTTTCATTGTATTCAAGCTTTTGTTTCAAATAAATTGTTGGTTAATAAGTATTTATTTTTATTCATATTTATAGTAATGAGTATTATTTTAAAGTATTTTTATGATTATAATTACCCCATTATTTTGTAAAACTGTTAAACTTACTTAGAGTTAATTATCTTTGATAAGCCAGGTAAAGAGGTTTAGGAAAAACTATATTTTCAGTCAGTCTAATGATAACAAATAAAAGATTGTGTATAATACATTATTACTAGAATTAGTGGAACAGCACACCAGAAGAATTGGAATTGCTTTGTTTTGCCACTGAGGATTATGTTATAAGGAGTTAACCCATCTTTGTTATTAACTGAAGCTTAAAATCTATTATTAATATCTACCATAGTACAAAATATATTGCCACTTGTTTTGCAAGGCAGCTCTAACTGTAGTGAGATTTGGGTTCTATCCTTTCTGTTGCTCAGCAAGCAATTTAAAACATTGAAGAGTAGTTCAGTTGGATTCAGGTCACTGATTTTGACTGTCTAAGATACTGCAGGTTAGGCATTTACAATATCCATCAATGCAAGGATTGCAGCACTGTACTGAAGGGCATTATACGATAAGGCATCCCTGTTCTTTAATTATCACCACTAGACCAAGTCCAACCAACTAAAAAAAACCCACTTCTAGATACCACCACACCACTCTTATTGGTTAGGATGGCACGTTTGTGCCCATTTGGAGCAACCAAAGAGTAGTTGGAATGATTGTTTTATTCAATGGTTTCTCATTTTTTGTACTTGTTTTTGACTCTTAAGGCACCATGAGAGCTATGTACATGGCATTTACAAGCATAATGAGCAACTTTGGGAATATAACTCATAGAGCTTGTTAATTACCTGTAGTAGATGATACCTATAGTTCTGAGCTCTTTATTGAGTGATGAATTTAATACTCAATATGTAGTTTCATTTCACAAAACATTTTCAAGTTTACATGGACTTAGGAGAGACATAGCATGAGAATTGAGAGTCATGGTTGTATTATTTGGAAAAATCTGTTCCTAATTACCCTGTTTTTAGGGTATATAAATATTGATATCATCATATAACCATGTGACCTATACAGCATATACACTAAAAAATCAAGCCCAGCTATGAGCAGCAGTTTAATATATGCCTTAGAATGTTCAGATGACTTGATACTTGTGAATCCTACTCTCATTATAACTATGGTGTATGTATATCAGGTATCAGTACTGACCAGTACAATACCAGTTTCATATATTTTCTTCCAACTGCAGTTTCTTGTTGACTACCCATGTATTTCATTGATGTTTTCCAATAGGTATATTTACCTAAAATTTCTAGGAAATATTTTAGAAAACATTGTCTTCAGAAGACAGAGAACAGGCCTATTATAAAGCTTAAGCATTCAATAAATAATCTAAAAATCTGGGCTTAATTGATGGACATTGTTCTTAATTTAATAAATTTATAGCCCTAAACATTTTATTGTACATTTTTAACTGTTACAGTATTTACTAATTGTACTGATAGTTTGTACTACTTGATTTCAAATAAAGTAATGTTTTTGTTTTTTAAGTGAATTTTTTAGTGTAACACTACAAGTTGGAAACAAGAAAAGGTGATGTGATGAAGGTCTTTCAATAGTATTTTCTCAGTCAGCATATGAACACATCTTATTATTTTATCTTTATGTAAAATATGGTTTAGGAGCTCACCATTTCTCACCCATTGTGAAGCTTTATACTAGAAATTTCAGTAATTATAGGGTTCAATAACCAGTTAAAAGCAGGGGTGGGAGTTTAGGGGTGCAAACAAATTTCTTTTGGACTACAAATAAACATAAATTCCATGATCCATCATATCTACTTGCAAAACCTAATAACCTTAGCAAATCCTTAATATATTGAAATATACTGAATGATCAGCAATTCAATTTGTCAGCATAAGTTCAATGGCTAACACCATACCATTTTTCATCATATCCAGGCAACTGCCATTCTGAAAAATCATATTCTGGCCAGTAACATTCCTTCATATTTTCATTTATGCTGGAGCAACTAAATATGCTTCAGAAGGCTGTGTCTCTTTTTTTTCCCTCATACTCCTAGCTAGTTTAATACTTTATAATATGGACCTTAAGCTGAAGGATTCAAATGACACTTGTCTACCTAGCTTATGTTATATAACAAGGTGAAAAAAAGCTATTTAAAAGGAAGTTACATAATTGTGATGTACTCATATACTTATATTCATTAATGAGTATAGTTTATCAAGTTGATTTTTAAAACATACATGAATATTTATTTCAATATATCTTGTTCATCATCAAGTTTTTATCGTAACAACCCGAGAATACATGGTGATACAGTTGTGGTTTGGACTTGATTTTGTTTTATTCACTTGAAGCATGAGTCACATCTGTATTAAGAACATGGTATTTTGAGATAACATTTAAATGACAGAAACCAGTTAGTGCTAGGCTTAATATAACTTGTTAAGCCTTTAAATACCATAATATGACAGAAAAGCAAGCATATATTTAAGTTTATTAATAAGTATGCTTAAATAAAATTTAAATTTGTACACTGCATTTCTGAGCAGAGTTGTTATATCTGTGTAGTTGCATCTTGTATTCACAGCATTAACATTTATATTGTAATAGTGAAGCATTTTCAATACTTTGGCAACAGTTGTCATAAGACATTAATATTGTTATGCCTCCGTTCGTTAGTTAATTTTCCATAAAAATTCTTTCAGAAGAAACTTTACTGATACAAGTCCTTACTTAAATAAAACTGGTTTATTCTTTCAGAATACACATTTGCAATACACTTAATTTCCACAGTCGCGCTATAACAAATGCTATAATTCACAACAAACGTTTCAAGTGCTCGACTCAACAATACGTCTCTCTCTGTCCGCAGTTCAATTACCCATTACATTGTTGCCGTCATGTCTTGACCATCTTATATATAAAAGAATACTGAAATCTAGTAAATGCTCGAACATTCAGGAAGGGACAGGATCCTTCTAGAAGTTCATGACGTGTTACTAGGGTCACGTGATTTCCGCTGTCGTAATAATATCTTATGTTAACTTGAAGGAATTACAGGATTTTAGTCTAGGCTTTATCAATGCCTAAAATTTGCTCTCATTTCTGTCTTTTATACCTTTAGTTAATAATAAATATTTCATACAAATCTTGTAAGATGTAACAATTATCTCTAAAAAATGCATCATAAACTTAATGAAAGGTATTCATGAGATTATTTTAATTATGAAGAGCTTCTGATTAAAAGTAACTATATAGATCAGAAACTACAATAATTTAAAGTAATTGGTAAGTTATTAACATATAATCCTGTGTAACAAACTGACTAAAATACTCAAATTCATAAATCAATATATCAGAAAACTTAAATTCATAATAATTAGAATAATGGAATTTTATTTAATGATAATACTTTTAATATTTCTTAAGGACTTCATGGACTTACATACTATAATGCAAAATAATCTTCATAAATGTTTTAACCAATAAGATTGAATGAAATTAACTATAAAAGAAAATCGGATATTTTATTACATTCTTACAAGATTACAGATGAATGGGATTAAAGTATATAAAACACCAGGCATTTGCTATTAAGGTCCACACAGCTTAACAATACATGAAACATGAATATTTGCAATCTTTGAGGCATTTTCAATAATGCACATCCAATTTCACAAATTCATGAATGTTACTAAAATAAATAAACTTCATTCACAAAATACAATATCCACTTATCTGGAGAATTATACCAATTATATATTGTTATGACAGCGGAAGTCACGTGACGCTGGTAACACGTCATGAGATTCTTGAAGGATCTTGACTTTTCCTGGCAACTCTAGTCTTTTCTGGCACCCTCTTTTTTTGTATATAAGCTTGGCAAATAAAGCGGAGAAATAATTGCAGATAGAGAGATATAGAGACAGATAATTGAGTCAAGCGAGTGGTAGTGACCATAAGTAAAGTGTGTGAATTGTTGTGAATTATAGCGTGTGTTTAAGTGAAAGTGACTGTGGAAATTAAGTGTATTGCAAAGTTGTATTGAGAAAGAATAAACTAGTTTTATTTACGAAAGAACTTTATATTGTTAGAGATTTGAGCTAATTTTTGCTTATACTGTATCTACAACAGTACATGAAGCAAAAAACTAGTGTTTTATGTGTTCTGTAAGTAATTTATACGCTGTTCTTTCTTTAATGTTTTTTTTTTTTCATTAACAATATTGGATAGAATGTTTCATATATGTATTTTTATTTTTTTATTATTATATTTTTACAATACATTATTAGTTTAGTATATGGATTTAGGAACAACCAAAGTCTCATAAGCTGGCTGAACCTTATGAGTTATTATTGGATTATGGCTGAAAATATCACTAATAGTGATGTTACCTAAATGAAGAAACAATGCATTCTAATTTTTACACAAGAATGTAAGAACAATGTATTTAATAATATTGTTACGTCTCTGTTCATTTGTTAATTTCCCATAAAAAATTCTTTCCGAAGAACTTCAGCGATACTTGTGGCCAATAAAAGCCTATTAAATGGCTGTGATGGTATAACCTAAGAGCAGCACAATGCTTTTAGATAAAATACTTCTACACATTATACCGTTCAAAATAATACATAATACTAAGTTGTTGTTTGTTTGTAGTTAAGCACAAAGCTACACAAAGAGCTATCTGTGCTTTGCTCACCATGGGTATTGAAACCCGGTTTTTAGTGTTGTAAGTCCGCAGACATACCGCTGTACCACTGGGAGGATAATACTAAGTAACAAAGTAAATGAATAATTAAATCATACAACAAATAGCAAGAATATTGTTGCTCTAATTAAAATATAACCAAGTTAATTGTAATTAAAAAATATACATATATACTAAACATACTATGAGGTGTGCTAACACGATTAATCCAACTTTATAAAATCTCTGTCACTTTAGAAAACATATGTTATGGAGTGGGCAACTGGAAGTAATAAACTTAAATCCTCCTTAGTAGCTGAACAGTAAACCCAGTAAGAATTGAGAAAGCTGGATAAATAACACTGATAATAACACTGTCATTAAGGTTTTATTTTCACTTTATTAATATTAACCTTTAATTGAAAGTAAAGAAGAATGTGTAACAATATGTTAATGTTAGATGTATGTCATACTTTTTTTAATTAAAACCCAATATTAGGTTTTTTCCCTCAATATGAAAGCCTCACCCAAGCACTTATCCCTAAAATTTTAGATAAATTACTGTATTAACCCTACGAGCATGGGTGGGGGTCAAAGTGTGCATTTCCTGACCTTGTACAGAGGGTCTTTCAACATGGTGTTATGCATTTGTTATCAGAGTCAACATTTTATGTTACCCTAATTTTGCTGATTTCACAACAGTTCACATTAGAGTAGAGAAAATACCTGATACAATATACAGAAATACTAAAAAATTTTAGATATAAATTTAAGAGGTTCTAGAGGCTATGAAAATGCAACTTTCATGATGACTAAAGTGTTTTTATTCTTCACATGAGCTTTACCTTGCACCCTGATTTGTGAGAGACTGAGTTGTACTATGTATGAAATTTCATAGACATATTTGTAGTACAAAAACTTTAGTAATACATATGATTGTTTACATACAACAGACTTGTACTAAAAACGTTCAATATATCATGAAGATACATTTCATAACTGTGGAATTATAGTCAACACTACTTATCCAATATGGAATCAGCTCAGTGGACTGACTTTATACACATTTAGATGATATTGCCTTCTTTAAAGTAAGGTTCATGGATTTTTTCAGATTGGTACCAAATTGAGTTAAACAATTTAAAATATATTTCTAACAGCCATATGTAATTTGTTTTGCAGATTTATGACCTTGGAAACCCTGGTAGTTCTGAAGGTAGCCAACCTAGGTGTCCACCAGCAGATGATAGCTGTAATACTAACAGTATCACTTCCTTCTGTGACAATGGCAGTTGCGAGGGCACTTATCATGCAGCTCGATGTGTCTGTGATCCTGGATGGCATGGAGTACATTGTAACCTACGTATGTATTATAAAAATTCATTTATTTACCCATGAAGAAGGAAGGTGAGTTTTCAAAATTCATTTTATTTTCAGTTAATTTGATTGAGATGTATATTTCATTATACATTGTTATGTTACTTTTATGTTTAATCTGTTATCATCAGTTTGCAGTTGCACATAAACTAATATTTTTTTAGGTAATTTTAAAAGATATAAAGTAAGAAACTACAAAGTATATCTATCATAAGTTGGATATGAACAAGTAATATAATATATTACACCAAATATTCAATAGGGGCAAAAAATTCAGTACAGTTTGCAAAATCACATCTGAATGCAATTCATTAGTTATAATTGCACATTTCACATGTCCTGTTGTAAAAATACACAATGGTTTTGGTGCATTTTGCTCATGTTTGTACTTTTTTACAGAAAAATAATACCCATTTTATATTCATATTTGATCACTTACTGTTTTAATAATTATTTCAGCTTTGGTTTTTGTTTCTGTGTAATTATATTACATTGCTATCTGCTTGTGACAGATGGTTAAGTGTTGGAAGTTAAGAAAACACAGAAACAAATGACAACTCATTTGATATATTCAGAACTGTAACGGAATGTTTATGGATACACTACGAAAATGCTGGTGTATGTACTAAACTGCATAGACTAGAACATGACAGGTCGTCTTCACTATGCAATGTGTTCAACAAGATCATTAGCAATTTCCATTTTTCTATTCCTGGACTCACATGAAAACTTGAAGACGGCATTTAGTAGTTATTAGTTGGTAAAGAACAGACTTTATGAGTCCAGTTTTAGGTTGAGAAGACTTTCCTCAGCCACACAGTTGACAGTGCTGCTCTTTTCAGATTTTGTATACAGGTCATCAGAATTTAAATAAGTGAAGCTAGGTGCCTGTACTTCTTTGCAGATAATTCAAGGCTTGAGATGTGACAGTGGTAACAGACATGTTGATTTAGTGAAATCCCAACGAATTGAGTTTGGAAATACTCATGTTCCACATGTAATAAGCAGTATGTTCTCAGTGCCACTGAATTATTATTTCTGTTCAATTAATAAATGTTGCTTATAACATATAGTTAAAATTTTCAGGTTGCTGTTAATTGATTAATTTTTTTAAGTATTTTGTGTTCTTTCTGTTTCAGATCTGAACAATAATTATATTTACTAAGACATTTAGTAGTAAACACTTCGAACTCTTAGATTTATGTTTTGTACATTGTTTCTGACTTTAGATTAATGAAAATTCAAGTTGATTCTTGACTTTTAATATACCATGTAGTTATGATTTATTGTCTTTTTGATCCATTTTGCCTATTATGAGTCTCTTTATTTCTTTTTTTTACTAGATACTGAAAAAGTAATTATTTATGTTATTTGAAATATCTATTATCAAACATTTATTAACATTAAAACTATGTTTATTCATTCATTGTTTTGGATGATTTTGTTTGTTTGTTTGGAATTAACCACAAAGCTACACAATGTGATATTTGTGCTCTGCCCACCACGGGTATTGAAACCCGGTTTCTAGCTTTGTACGTCCACAGACATACTACCTTGCCACTGGGGGGGTGGATGATTTTATAACTCAGATAACGTTTAAGCCTTTTACATCAATGTGTTTTTTAGAACAAAGTAAAAAATCTGTTTTTCAGCTACTCAAGCTAAGATGTTCCAAAAAAGCAGCTATATAAAATATGCCTTGTCCTTTGAACCAAATACTTACAAGACTGACATCCAGCTTATGTTTCGTACCCGACAGAAACATGGAGAACTCTTCCGGGCTATGAGTAAACATGGTCATGAATACTGCATTTTGGAGGTATGTTTCTTTTATTAAAAGTTATTTACTATATGCAAGTATTTATAAAACTTTAAACTGTGCTCTATCTTGGAAATTTATTTTTCAAAATACAGGGTGTTTATAAAGTCTCTATCTCTTTCAGAGAAATAACGGATAAATGTGTTAAATTCAATTATAAAACGATAGAAGTTATACATTTATTGAATACTTAAGAATAAGATTCTACATGTGCACCATCAATATCTCTACAGAGCTCAAATCTTTCCACAGCATTTCTGAACACATCCTGGAGCATTTCAGGGGTTATTCTGTTAACAGCCATTACAATGTGTGTACGTACGTTCTGCAGATCTTTAACCTTCGTTTGATGGACGTCTGATCTGATAAAGCCCCATGCAAAGAAATCCAAGGGTGTTAGATCTGGTGATCAAGCTGCCAAGGGCCTGTTACTTCCACGTCTGATCCACCGATCTGGAAATCATTCATTCAGGTACTCCCGAACAATGTTTGCATAGTGACAAGATGCACCATCTTGCTGAAAGACGACTGTGTTCAATATCCGATTCCAAACCAATTGGGGTTCTAGGAACTGCTGCAACATGTCCAGATAAATAGCCCATGTAACTGTAGCTTCAGCAAAAAAAAAGGGTCCATAAATCTTAGATTTAGTCAAACCCAACCAGACATGAACTTTAGGAGTATCTCTCTCAAAAATCAATCAGTCTTTCATTAGCCCATATGCGAAATTCATGGCAGTTAACCTTTCAACACGTATGGAAAGTTGCTTCATCACTGAAGAGAATGTGGTCCATTAAATTTGCATTCTGAATACATTCAACCAGATTGGCACACAATGCACTTTGCTGTGGATAGTCTTCATGCAAATCATGTAAAATCTGAAGGTGATAACATTTCTTATGCAAATGTGATGTCAAAATTTTGTAGACCAAATTGGGCATCCTGAGTCTTGGTGATGCGGCACGAATTGACATGCTTGGTTCTTCCATGATAGCCTTTCATACTGCATTTACAGCATGCTCTGAGACACGTGGATGTCCAGATCTTGGTTCATCATTAACAGATCTCATTCTTTTGAATTTATTCAACAATTCATGTATTGTCTTGTCTGTAGGACCTGGCTTATGGAATTTTCTTTCAAACTTCTCTCTAATTTCTTTGGATTTCTTTCCTTGAATACGCAATGTTACCACCATCAAACGCTCTTGCACATTCATCTACAAGGGGTTCTGCAATACCAATCAGTAAAACCCGTTATTTCACTGAAATAGATAGGAACTTTATAAACACCCTGTATATAATTAGGAAACAGAGTGAATGCTTATTTTATTAGGACAGTTAACATTTAAATTGTAAGGCATTCTTCTGGCTTAAATATCATAAATCTTAGATTTGCTTTTCAATATCAGTTGTTAATAATGATACTATCAAATATTTCTCAACATATGCTCCATGGACTATTTGCTAAGAATTTAAGGAAAAGTACTGTGATAATTTTAGAAACTGAAATTATTATTTCTTAATTAGGAAAATGCAGTGACTGGTGAAATTATGTATATATAAACATAGATATTGATATATATATAAAGGTACTAAAATTCTTTCTGTAGTGAAAACTAAAGTTTTTGACTTCCTAATATCTCATATAATGTGATTGTCATAGTCCATTTGGGAGAGTGCACAAAGCTTTATCCACTAGTTGTCCTTTTGTTTTATCTGTTGATTATTTTTTATTCTTTAGTTAACATTCTCATTTAGTATTGATGTTTCATCCTAAGATGTCATAAAACATTTTCGATTTTTTTAAAATTCTATCTTTATGATATATGTATATATATATATATACTAATATATGTACCGATTTAACTCCTGAGAAACACATAGTTGCAATAGTATAGAAGTTGTTAAGTAGCTGTCAATAGCCTTTAGCAGCAAACACACATTTCCTGTAAGCTAAACCCTAAAGTCCCTGTCAAGTTTGATTTAGATCGAACAAAACTATTGGCATGAAAGGCAGATATTAAGGATGCTTTTACCATCACAGAATCAAAAATATCAAAGTTGATGTCATATTTATTTTCTCAATGATAGATTTACTTGATTGACTTACAGATTCGGGACCAAAAAATCCACTTCCGATTTAACCTCAATCAACATAACTCTACAGGTGAGCAAGAACTGTGGCTACCTCATGTTACAGTTAGTGATGGTCAGTGGCACACAATCAAAGTTCTTAGGTATGGCAGCACAGCTAGTATGTCATTGGATGGAGGTGGAGGAAGACATTACAATGAAATTATTAATTACAAGGGCTTGCATCAATTGATGAAAATGGAAAAACAGAATATCATTGTTGGTGGTAATGTGCATTATATTGGACCAAGTGTTAGTGTGGTGGATGATGATTACCAAGAAGGTATAAAACCATCTAAAATTTTTTTATACAAAGTTGCAGTGCATATTTCACAAATTCCCTAACATTACATTCTTTTTATAAGTATGTAGCATGAAGGTTTGCATGGTACTGATAAATTGTATATTACAAATTGAAGTAAGCAGTTATTATTCATAGGCAAAAGTAAACAACTGAAAACCTATTTTAAAGAAGCTGAAATTGTATGCATAAAGAAAATATACAATAAACTTATTTTCAAGCTAAGAATACCTAAACATGAACTATGAAGACATTTGAATTGTTTTGGTTTACTTTTTTTTTACAGGTTGTATAAATGACATTAGACTTGACCAGCGCTATCTTCCTATGGAAAATGGATCTGAAAATGCTGCTGTAGTTGAATGGAATAACCTTATTGATAATTGCCCTTCCAATAATTCTTGTCAAAATGTAATCTGCTATCCACCTTTTGTTTGTAAAGATCTCTGGCTTCTTCATGAATGCAGGTGCCTTTCAAATATAGTCTTTCAAAGCTAAAGCTACATCTAGTACTGTAACATCTGAATTTTTTTTTCTTCTCAGTAGTTAAATAAGGCACATTCAAATTTTGATTGAATTGTTATTTCTTAACTTAATAAGTTTCATTTTCTAGTTTATTAGCTTTGTACAACCAAACCTAAATGATTTAAGTTTTATTGTAAATGACAACAGTAATATACATACCCTTATTTTCATTGATATGAAGTAAAAAAAGCTACAGTCTCATTTGAAAAATTTTTATTGAACAAAAATTCAATTTGGTACTTAAAAATTAGTGTATATTAATCTAAACACAAAAGAGCTCAAAACATCAAAATTAAAAAAAAATACCGTAAATAAAAAAAAGGTTATTTAGTTTGGTTCAAAACCTACAAAATCTTCATTGCTTTCAATGTCACTTGGAAAGGAATCATTGAATCCAATATTATGGTAAAAGAGAATGTCATCCTCGGTCCCATCCATTGCGTTACTGATACCACATTTCTTAAATGACTTAATTATCATATCACTTCTTACTTTTTCCCACGAATTCTTCACCCACATGCAGACCTAGGCCTTTGTGTTTCATGAACCGATAACGATGTATGACCAGTAAAATCTTCTAAACTATTATCACATGCAATCCTCTTTGCTT